TCACGGGTTCGCCGCCTCCCTGGCCCGCTGTAGCGCTGGGCCGGCGGCCTTTGTCCCCGCGCATTCCCCGCCCGCCGTCCCGTGCGCGCCCCTTGGCCCCACAGAGACCCTGCTTCTGTCCCATCGCTAAACAGGGTACGTCCAGAGTCTCAGCCTTCGATTCTTCTGTACAAGAAAGTTAATGAAGTCTGCACGGACTGTGGTGTCCAGTGGTACAAAGCGCTCAGCACAGTCTCATTCCCGAGTTCACAGCGGGGCGTGGAGCAGGAGAGTGTAGGTCCCCCCACCGCCATTACCACACCCTCCGAAGTGGCAGGGAGCACACCCTCACTTCCTATCGGGAAACAGAAAAAAGGATGCTTCGGGCTGGGCTGGACCCTCTTTGGCAGACCCGCAGGCTGTGTACGGAGCTGGCATCTTCTCACATTCAGGTCTTAGCCCCTGACCCCTCTGTGCAGGAGCCCTTCACTCTCCATTACTCTCAACTTTTTTCCCTTCTTTGCATTACTGGGGGTTGAACCCAGGGTCTTCCAACAGTTATATCCCCAGACTTTATTTTTAAAGACAGGGTCCTGGTAAGTTGTCCAGCTTGAGTTCCAACTTGAGAGCCTCCTGCTTCGATGCCATTCTTATTTGTGTTTATTTATTGTCCTGTTTCTTGTATATTCACACCCCCTTCAAAAAAAAGAACTAAAATGTCAGCTGGTGGAGAGGAAAAGTCTCGTTCTTCCTCATACTCTGCCTTAGCCTCAGTGCCTGGAAGCACCTGACTTGTGTGTACAACCCATAAATGGAGTGATTGAATGAAAAACACCCTCTGACACCCTCAGGCACTGGACAAAGACGGAGCCTGAAGCCGGCTCTGGGCAGGCGTCACAACCAACCTTGCAGGCTTAGCAGACAGAGTGCAGGTGTATGCAGGGTTCAGGCTGGAGGGGAGAGAGAGCTTTCCAGAGGAGAGGGGGATGGGATATTGAGCCCATACGAACAGACATGGGTCTTCACAAAGGAAAGTGGATTCTTCGGTTGGCTGTTGTTTTGTTTTGTTAAAGACAGGGCCTCATAATGTAGTTCAGACTGGCCTCAAACTCACGGTGATCTTCCCGCCTCAGCCTCCTGAGTTCTGGGAGGCACATCTTGAAGGACTAGAAGGGGAGAGGGATGATCTTGAACACCTGGCTGAGGAAGCCTCCTGTCTCTGAGGAGGTTCTTGAGCAAATTAAAATAGGAAAGTGGTATTTTTGTTGTTAAATATTGATTTGAAACAATACATTAAATAGACAAAAGGTAATGAACACAGTTAATAAGAGTAATACAAGTGGCTTTTAAGAAAATGAAAAGATACTTGACTATCTCAAAATAGGAAAACTGCAAATTAAAATTAAGGTGGAATTCTTTTTATATATCAGATGGGAAAAGATACTGCACATTGTGGAGAAAGACATTCTTGTTCTTTGTCTTGTAGGCAATCCAGCAGCAGCTGTTATACATTAAATGCATATACCTTTAACCTAGAGATACTGCCAGCAATTTATCCTGCATTAGTCCTTGCTTAGGCATAGAGACCTGTGTACTAGAGTGTTCACTGTAGCTTCCCTAGTGGTTACAAAAGACTAGAGACAGATGTAGCAAAGAGTGAGTTCATAAAAGGATGACATAGTCCTCAAAGGAATGCCTTACTGCTGTTCCCAAGAATGAGAGAGATCTCTATGTATTGATAAGGGATGGTTCCTAAGATACTAAGGAAAAGACAAGATGCAGATATATTAACTTACATAGTCCCTACAGGTGACGTGATTGCTTCTGGGGAAGGAAACTTTGTAATAGGAATGGCAGATTACTTTTCCTTAGGTTCTTTTTGCCCTGTTTGGTATTTTTACCATTTAAAACATACATGTAGCCCAGTGTGATGGTGCATACCTATAGTCTGAGCTACTTGGGGGGCTGAGGCAGGAGAATCACATCAAGGCCAGCCTGGGCAACTTAACAGGATCATGTCTCAAAAAAGGGTTCAGGATATAGCTTAGTGGTAGAGTGCTCCTGGATTAAATCACCAGCCCTGGAAAAAAATAAAACAAATGTATATCAGAAGATGAAATAGGCAGAGCGGTTTAGTTGATCGTTGGGATAGTATTATTTTTGCTTGATGCAGGGACTGCATCTCTACTGAACGCTGGTGTGGTGGTCGGAGATGGGCCTAAGACTTCTGTATTGGGTAGAAGAAAATGGCCGGAACCAAGCGACTGCTGGTAAATCCACTGGTCGGAAAGCACCCCACCCGACCCCACCCCCGAAAAAAATAGCTGGCCACTAAAGATGACAGGAAAATCGCTCCCTCTACCTGCAGGGTGAAGAAAGCGCATCACTACAGGCCCGGTACTGTGGTGCTTCGAGAGATTTGTCGTTACCAGAAATCCACCGAGCTTCTCATTTGGAAGCTGCCTTCCCAGAGGTTGGTGAGAGAGATTGCCCAGGATTTCAAAACTGACTTGAGGTTTCAGAGTGCAGCCGTTGGTGCCCCTCAGGAGGCTAGTGAAGCATTCCTGGTGGGCTTATTTGAAGGTACTCATCTGTGTGCCGATTCATGCTAGGATAGTCACCATCGTGCCCAAAGAATCCAGTTGGCCCGCGGGGTGCGGGGAGAGAGAGTTTCTGTGAAGGCAATTTTATGGCATTTTGTAGTAAATTCTGTAAAATACTTTGGTTTAATTTGTGACTTTTTTGGGTAAGAAACTATTTATAATATGTTGCATTTGTACTTAAGTCTTTCCATCTTTCTCTCAGGATGAATGAGAAAAGTGACTGTTCACAGACCTCAGTGACAGAAGCACTGTTGCCCAGGAGGGACAGTTGCTGATATGCAGAAGGGATGGGTGATGTTTCTTGCTTCTCATGATGCATGTTTCTGTATGTTAATGGCTTGTTGGGTAGCTATTAAGGTACTAGAATTGATAAATGTGTACCGGGTCCTTTCACAATAAAACTGGTTATGACTCGATCTAAGTATTTAACAAATGGGG